AATATTAATTAAACCATGTCAACTGCGGGGCCGTAGAAGTATGTACAACCTTGCCTAAGCGAACGCACATCAGCTTTATAACCCGGCGTGACAGGCAATTACATACGTCACGTTGGCTTGACAGGTTCAGTGACTATATCATGTTTAATATTATATGTTTTAACCCCTTTCGCATGCACAGGCGAAGTGTCAAATGCGAAACTGTAGACCCGCCCCCAACTCTAGGGGGAGGTACCGAACAGGCACTGCTGGACCGAGGCAAAGTGGACTCGCTGAACATTTCTGTGGCTGCCGGTATATTTATAAACTCACTGATCCACTCGTCGGAATAAACTGAGATACAGACAATAATTATCTCTTTTATATATTTATATATATATAATTTTTGACATAGTTCATAGTATTTAAATACTTGTGAATACTTCAACTTTTTATTGAAATTTTTACTTGAAATTTTTCTCGACACGAAAGGTGCATATTGTGTTCTCGGTGAATATTACTGAATTTACAGGAATACTTTCTAACTTGTTTAAAAAAAAACACTTTTCGAAATAGAATCTGAGAGACATAAAAGGCTTTATATGTCATGACATACTATAAATTTACATGTATGTGTTCCTCGAAACATTGCTGATGTTTTAGCTATATCTTTCAGCTCACTGATTTTTATCGAATGAAGTTTATCAGTCCGAGACAAATAATTTCTCTGAGAACAAACATTCGCTTGATCATACCTATTGCGACGGCTGCGCATTTCTGGGGGCTGCGGGTATATTTATGAATTCACTGATACATGTATTTTCGAAACAAAATTAGTTTAAAATATTTTGACCCGTTTTTTAGTTTAAATACGTATAGTTATATCCAAAATGCATGTCTCTAGGTATCCTTTTCTGACCATTGATTCTCTCGATGATATGAAATGAAACAGACACGAGCAAGCTACTCAAACATTCACTCTTATTCACCAATACATTCATCAAAACGAAGTCAGACAGAGGTACAAATGTATCTGCATCCCGTGAAACTGTAGGTAGTACTTGCACATGTGTGATAATCTGTCTATTCTTATCAAAGCCTTGCTCAAGATAAATCTTGCTCAAGATACATTCAATTGAAATCAAGTAGATATAACTTTTTCGGATCCAAATTTTGCATACATACATAACCATACACATGCCAGCTGGAACGTAGGTCAGAGACATGGTGAGAGATGGTATGTATGTGAGCGATCAGTTGTCAGCTGTATTGAACATCGTACTGGCGTTACGGAATGCACGTTTAACCAGCAGGGGAGGTTATTTATATTGTTTAATCGTTTATTATTAGACATTACTATCTCGAAGGCTATCCAAATACTTGTGTCTTTCCGTGCGTGGTGGTGATATATCTTGCATCTAGTATATCCATTTTTATGAAAACGTTAAACTATGATATATATAAATACATATATACATATGTATATATATATTATATATATCATGGTTTAACGTTTTTATAAAAAAGGATATATATATATATAAATGTATATATATATATATATGTATATATATATATATATATATATATGTATATGTATATATGTCTTTTCAGATATCTATAGACTTGGTGGCTAATCGTCTACTCATGCTGAATCGTGAGGCCACTTCTTTAAACATCTATGTGTAGGGACTGATGAGAACAGATCAAAAGTCGGGGGGGGTGCATGGGATGTGATGAGAACGGATGATTCGAAGGATCTTCTGTTATACTACATTAATAAAAGCCAGAGAAGCGTTTGTGAAGGAACGTCCTTATTATTAGACAACGAGTCTTCAATTTTCACAGCTACATAGTGTCATATTGTGAATGTGCTATCTCTTTAAAATAGGTAAATATTACACTCTGCCCTAATATTTATTACAGTACTGAACTCCACTAATAACACAATCAGTAATATTGATATATCACGGCTGGGAAGCCGCCGGGACTGAAAGGGTAGAGTCAAAGGAGTAATTTATTTGTTCTTATTCAGACCTAAAGTAGTAAACGATGTCTAAAACCAGTACACGCCCTTAGCCCTATCGCCTTGCAATACACATACGTATACACACTTATATACACTCACTCACTCACATTATCTCTCTCTCTCTCCCTCGCACACACACATATATATATACTAGCATTCACACCCACACCCACACACATATATATACTTGCATTCACACCCACACCCACACACTCACACTCACACTCACACTCACACTCACATTCACATTCACATTCACACTCAAGCTCACATTCACATTCACATTCACACTCAAGCTCACATTCACTTTTACTTTCACGTTCACGTTCACACTCACACTCAACTTTGAGTCTCAGTCTTAGTCCCACTCAAACTCAAACTCCTGTAAAAGCCAAATAAAGTTCTCTGAATAACTAGATTTATTTATTTGATTTCAGACCCTTTATATACAAGTGTACTACATAAGTGTCAAGATCTGTTTTGACCATGTGGCCCGGGATACGGATAAGTTTGCTGGAGTATGTATTATAAATACTTCAATAGAGGTTCATAATATAGAAAGAGATTCTTACTCTACTACACAAGAAAACAAAAAATGGAGTGGTTGTGTTTTTATAAATACAATTATACTATACATATCAGAGCCTTCTTGTTTTATTTTAGACGGCTATGCTTCATTGCTTCGTCTACAATGTAAACAAAACAAAACAAAAAATGTTTTGTTTTGTTTTTTGAAACAAAAACATAGAAAAACATATCGAATCTCAGGACTCAGGAGTATTCACAGGACTCCAGAGCTAAGCTCAATACGTATAAACTTTAAACGTATACGCAAAAGGTTTTTTATAGCGTTTTAAAGTATATCTGGGGCAAATCGACCATAAAAGTTTTCCAAATTTGCACCTGAGATATTGATCTGATGTGAAAATATTCACAACTGGCACAAAGTGAAAAATAGAACAATTCCTGACAGTTCGGCCGCCTCAAAAAATGTACCTAACTGTAAACCCATAGGACTATGTTTAGGATAAACCTTGAACGTAAACGCTTAAAATTTCTATTTTTTTGCGTTTTAGCGGGAAACGTAATGAGGTTAGCTCCAGAGTCCAAGCCCGTTAAAACGCAAAAAGCGCGTCTACGTCAAAAGTTTATCCTAAATATTGTCCTATAGGTTTACAAATAGGTACATTTATGAGGCGGCCTAACTGTCACGAATTATCCTATTATTCACTTTGTGTCAATTGTGAATAGTTTCAAAACACTTTTTCAATAAAAAGGGTCAATTTCTCGGGTGCAAATTTGGAAAAATTTCAAGGCCGATTTGCCCTCGATATATTTTAAAACGCTTACAAACAAACCTTTTTGCGTTTGCGTTTGCGTTTAAGGTTTATCGCGTAAAGACAAAATGTATTGAGCTTAGCTCCACCGCCTCCAGCCCCCAGGAGTCCAGGCAAGGAATCCTGACGACATTTTATCATCTCAGAACGTTTGTTATTCTCTTCACAAATCATAAAATATTTTATCTGTTTGGCAATTGCAAATTGCAATCGGTTTTACGTTCAATTAAACATTTAAAATATATAAACGTATATGTACCATCGCGCGGTTTTGAGGACCAGTGGAAAGTTTAAGTATTTATTTTTTAAATACGTTCGAAGTGAAAGCAAACATAGTATTCTGAAAATAGAACACGAGAGGCGCAATAAAGAGTTTTGCATAGCCTCCTAAAACGTTGATTTTGTTAATTCGGTTTGTTTGTTGTTTTTTTTAAAAATCCCCAAAAAGACAAATGACAATCATGACCCTCTTTCGCGAGAGAGAGAGTGAGAAGAAAAGTGAGAAGAAATAAAATAATATGCCTGAGTGGACGACGGAGTATTGTCCGTCGGTTGACAAACGTTTATGCTCTATGTGTTTTTTTACAAAAACAATATATGTAATGCAAATACCTTTAGTTTGAGATATACACTAGAGTATAGTTCGGTACAGTGACGAACCCACACAAGTCTCTTCGACTACATGTGGTTGAAAAAAAAAGATGCTGTCGTACATACTCTAATTCAGCTAATTTGGTTTTGACAGGGTGACGGGACTCCTCGGAGTATGAGGATGCCAAGACGATCACTAGATAGATGAGAAGTCTGCCTATTTAGGAAGGTGTCGAGTTACGAGTAATACCATGTGGATAAAGCGTACAATAATTGTTGTAGTAGATACTGGCCGATTCTCTCGTAGATTCGTGGTAGACAGTAGTGTCCACAACAAGTCCACAACACAGTATGTACCTCGGAGTAGGAATGTAGTATAGATAGTCCGAGCATAGATGACTACATACAAAAATACAACAGACTTGTTTTTTCCATTATTCGTGTAGTATAGTATCTTACATATTTATGTAAGTACCAATAATCGGGATTTCTCAATTGCATCTCACTATATTTCGTTTCTATTTGACACTGAATCGAGCACACAATGGTACTGCAAATCAGTATTGAATTACTACAGTATCTGACAGACATAGTTTTATATTATTTCCCCCACAATTAAGTGTGCTCTACTGCTGCACATTTGATGTGCCTTTATTTTTCAAACTTGATTATAACCCGTTGGAAGTAAAATAGAAATAAAATTTGGCTGACAGGACATACCCGAAGGATGTTAGAATGTCACCAATTTGATAGAATTTATTTGCCACAGAACTATTCCCAATTGAAGCTCAATGTTCGTAACATAGTAGAATCTCATTATTCTTCGATGTGTGCTAACCACGCGATGGTTTTATAGATAGGTCGCTGACCACATTTGAATAGCTGCAAGAAGAGAAATGGATTAAATTATGCTTTTGAAACAAGATCCTAACCGAAAGTCGAAAATTGTTGTAAATTATACTCAATACTTTCTACGGTGAACAAAATTTTCCCGTGGTGATGATCACAATTATGTTTGGAAAGTGTATTCCTACAATGCCAGTTTTAAAACAAAAGAGGAAAGTTTTGTGTTATGTGGCCATTCGGAGGCCTTAAAAAGTTTATTTGATTTATAAGTATGATTACGCGACTCGTTCAACAGTCCTAACATATCCATCTCTCTCCTGTGGCATATAGTCTACCGCACCATTGGACATAAGCTGTCCAAATGCTTGCCAGCCCTGGTTAGAATGTTTGTATGAGTTGGACTTTTTACACTTCCATAGTACTATATAAGTGTCCCAGTGCTGATGCTTCACGTCAGCACACAAACCATTGTCTCTGTTGCGTAAGTGGTGCTCGGAATCCCCGGGCTTGTGAAGTTCCCACGTTTGTAGTTTTGTTCCATTGCACTCGCCAAGTTGTATGTTTTTATAGCCTTCCACATCATCCGCCTTCGGCGATAGCAGGCATTCTCCTGTAGATGTAAGAACTTCTTTCGTATCCGAATTATATCGAAGGTAAAGTGTATTCTCTTCATCACATTCACCAACCATGACCACATTTGATTCCTCCCCAGTCCCTCTTGTCATGCATTGAGGGTGGTATATGTTGCGGTATGAGTAATAATGTACGGCCGTATTCCGTTGTTGACGAGTTGGTTGGGCATGACAAAATGATTGTATGCACCCTACAGCGGCCATAATTGTTACTATACTCTGCATGATGCTACTCGGAACAATCATGATGTATGCTATATTTTATTTATTTATAAAGTGATTCATAATCGTGTATGTGCGCAATATATATGCATAATGAAAATTGAATTTGGAGAACACTTTCCAGGAAAAATCACATGTTTCATGAATGATTTTTTTTAAACATCGTTCACTGTAAATATTTTATAGAGCATATGATGCCATAGAATTCACCTTCGGCTTCGGGATACTGTATTTCTTTAAATAAGTATAAATATATCACTGGGATACGATAGATCTGTAAGGATGAGTATTTCAAGAAGCTATTTACTCCGTATTTGATCAGTAAACATTGAGTATCTGCTCACTGCTGGCGAGTGACGACTATGTCACAATGGTGCTTATCTGTAAATTTCTTTTACACTAACTTTATTTACAATTGCCCCCTTTTTACTAATAAAAATCAGAAAAACAAATATTTAGATATCTACAATCGTGCAGTCGTGCATACAAATTCTGTACGGAGTACACATATTGTGAAACTGCTGCAGCCATCATGTGAGTGAAGGGCCTGAGGCTCAATGCCAAATTGGCAGATTTGTAGCCAAATTGAAATGCCAACAATCCCAAAATTGAAAATTAAAGAGGCCCACCGCCCACCGGGTACCGGCTATTATATTATTATTATAAATCGTATCAAACCGTCGAATGTATCTATTTGAAATGGAAGCTTTTTTTTTTTAAACATCTTTTATATTGCGAGTATAAACAAGATTCTGCTCTTTTTTGTATACTTAGATATGATCAGTCATACCGTCGTGGAGTCGTATGGCGATTGGCGAAATAGAAACCATTAAGGCATTAACCTTGTATCCATTCGTTTTGTAAAAACAAGATTCTGCTCTTTTGTTTTGTCAAAATAATTAGATATGATTGTTCATTGTCAATCTCTCAGATGTGTATTAATATTGACCAATACATTTACAGAGATTTACGGATTCAGTATAGTTTTGCTCTCTTTTGAAATAAAAAAAAGCAAATTGGAAAGTTTTTACTGTTTTTAGAAAAATTATAAATATAGATTTTCGATTGTTTATTTTATTAAAAATATGTAAAACAAAATCTAGTTTGAAAATGTAATTATAAACATTTGTTTTTAAAAAAATAAAAAATACTGACAGAATACAGTGCTTAGCGATTCTTTATAAATAAATATATGTATAAAAAAACAATATATATATTTTTTAAAGATGTATGTTTTTTTTAAATAAAATAACACCGCCAGCAGCTTGACTGCTGGACTGCAGAGTGCAGATCCGGCAGTCCTGCAAAGCATTTGTGCTACAATATTTACATACATACTGTTTTCGTTTTTGCTTCTAGAATACAATGTAGATACCTATTGAGTGATAAGTTAAATATCACTCATCAGCCCTCAGACTTTAGAGTCATAAGCGTGTATACAGATTTATATTATATCTCTTGAAAAATAGAATCTATATATTTGTGGTTTAGCTATCACTCGTCAATGTCGTCATACATGGTCTTGGTGTAACGGTCACTTGTGGGTGGAAACACTGACTGTACTGAGTGTACTCTGTGTGTACCTATCATTTGCTGTGCACATACATCGCGGAAGCCCTACAAAGGCTATCTACAATCCACCCAACGTTTCCGGCTGTTGACCCTCACATGCACATTCGACGACCGCTTTCTACAAACCTGGACAGTATATAAGTAGAGCGGTAAGGTGCTGCGTGTGTGCTCTGCGCCCAGTAGCTCCCATGTTGGGCGTTGTAAGCACGTGTCTAAGTTCCAAGGCGGGCTGTGGGGCCGGAGGGGCGTTCGAACGTTTATCCCGCAATCGACATATACTGATTGTTTATCTACATATACTCAAGAGTAGACGAAGTATGAACTCGCTAGCGATGGCCGGGGTGCGTTGAGCAGCTGTATCCGGCAACCCAGCTTACTCGAGTCCGCATATCGTACACATACTTGTGAACGCTGATATCTACATACTCTTATCTTCTATTCCCAATCCTATTGATACTCTGCACGAGCCAGCCGCACACAACGAAGACTTTGGGCAAGTGTCTGAATTTTGTATTCCTTTGTGTTGAACCTCCAAAGCAACCACCCCACTCCCCCGCGCGCCCCATACACGGGAATTGTGCCGAAGATATGTAGGTGCATAGAGATGTCGATATATAGCGTCTGGGATATCGTTGGCCTTGTGTAAAGTACAGGATAGCTTACTTACTCGAGAGCCCGTGTTAATATCCGGCTGAAAGTACCTGGACCAGTCTTGATCACAACTGCGTGGAGTTGAAGATCATCGACTTCAGAAGCTCTGACATAAGGCCATGCGCCGCTTCGATCCCCAGTTTCGTCCTACAGTGAATACCATCTGGCAGTTAGTATGAAAACCCTTAAAACCCTAACCCTAAAACCCAGTTTCGCACAACTGTGAAGTTAGTTATGACATGTGAAGTGGTCTGGCTCATGCGTTGCTGGTCTCTGGACAGGACAACCCATACTGCCGTGCTATTTATCAAATATGGGAATTGGGCTTATCCGCATACACAGACACTCCGTGCAGATGCAGATGATAAGTAGATAAGTAGCGTTGCTATGATAGGTAGATAAGAAGGGTTGCTATGATACGTCGCTAAGAACGGTTGCTATGGTACGTAGATAAAACGTGTCCCAATGATACGTTGATAGGAAGGGTTGCTATGGACGTACGCCCATACTTTTTAACAGTCAACTATAACAGCGCAATTGACTTTCGAGTTCACGCGATTGCTCTCTGTGCTGCGTCGGTGCGAGAAGGTGTTTGCAATCCAATAGACGCACTCGAAGCCACATGTACTAACAGGATGAGCATACTTTATGATAAGTACTACAGCCTCAAATACGCATGCATACAACCAACTGACAATTTTCAGGTGTCATGTAATCAAAGCATACTATGACACCCGCTGTCTTTCACATCCCCTCCATTGCACACTCGTTCGTGGGCTGTTTGTTGGTTGGCATCAACACACCAAACGGGTGCCCAAACCAACCACACGAAAGAACGGGCCCGATTCCCACACATTACTACAATGCAAGACAGACATTCATTAGCATAAACAGAACTTCACAGAGAACTAGTGCATGGCTGTCATAGACAACCCTCTCAATACTACTGTTTATATATATATATATATATATATATATATATATATATATATATATAATATATATATGATATACAGTTGTGTTTGTATCAACTCGTGATCGAATACCTAGATATGTCTACAGATAAAACACAAGTATATATAATCACTCGCGTACACTCCCATACTTAACAATGGTTACCATAGAGATATTCCCTCCATTTTATGGATTGTGTATTTGCATGCATAGTTTAATCGAAATTGGTATATTGCCCAATTTTATCACAAAAACGCATCTCAATTACATACCCAGGATCACCAGTACATAGCATCACCCACATACCCATCATTAGTGACATTTTCCAGATCTTTCCTCGATTTTGTGGATTGTGTATTGGAACCACTATAAGAATCGGGTTTGGTAAATTTATCCATCCAGTCACGTGGTACTGGGCCGTAGTTTTCGTTGTTATTCTGTACGTTGAATGCCTCTAGTTTGCACCCGATTTCGACCGTTTGTTGTTTCGCGTATTTTGAATTCTGACAAATAGATACATGCATTGCAGTGTCAGAGAAGATAATATATACATACTACACTAGCGGGTTATAATGGAGGCATAGTGGATGAGTGTGCATTACACAAACACACATAATATATATATATATATATATACATATATTAAAATACGTTCATACATGCATGCATGAACGCAAACATGCTTCAATACATACATACATACATACATACATAGGTATTTACATATATACCTACTTACATACATACAGACATACTTTCATACATACATACATACACACAATATATATGCATATATAATATATATATATATATATATATATATGTATATACACTTATATATATATATATATATACATGTATATATACATATATATATATAATTA